AGTTTCAGTTAATAATGAAAAGTTTAGGTCCTAGTACAACACACTGTTTTATATTGGCTGAAAATATAGTTTGTGATTTCCAACCCAATTCATTCCATAAATATCAGAAGTATTTTTTTTATTACAGGGAAAATATCCATCGTACAGGTATCTGTAATAAACAGGATTTTTAAAATTCAATTTTTCAGGCTTATGTAATCGGTTCAAGATTTTTTCGATATAATAGAACACAATCTGAGCAACTGAAGGAAACTATTTACTCAAGGTCATGATATATTCACCAATGTGGTTTTTAAGTCTGAATTTTTTTGGCACTATTTTCTAACAGACACTTCATCATAGATAAAATGGAGGTTTAGGGAAGAAATTTTTTTATTGTTTTGCTCTACCTGTAATGAGTTAAAGTTACATGTAATGCCAAGTTTCAAAACTAAAATTTTACAATCATGGTTATAAAAATGGTTTATTTACAGTGAAATGCTTATATCTTCCTATCATTTATAAATTGTACACTGAATAAGATATTGAATGTTAGAATTAAAGTATTCAAGATGTTTTGGACTTTTGTATACTTATGCAGATAAATATGAATTCATGAAGAGAGAGACAAATGTCATACCTATTGGGTTTGCAGTCTATTGCAAGAGTATAGATATGAAAGGTATAAGTTACCCAAGGAGTATTTGAAAGTTAACATTACCTGCCTATTGGGAAATATTCTAATGACAGAATGAAATACCCAAGAGGAATTGGACAGATCCAGTACTGATGAAGTATTCTGATGAAGCAATTAAAAAAAAACAAGAAAAATTGGACAACTTTAATTATCTGATGGGTGGGACATAGATACCCAAGAAGAGTGGGACATGTGTGTATTACCTGTTGGGTTGTATTCTGATGAAGCAATTCAAGAAACCCAAGAAGAATTGGGCAAGTGTCTATCACAGGTTGGTTGGGATGAATATATCCAAGAAGAGTTGGACAGATGTCCAATACCTGTTGGGTGGTATTCTGATGACGCAATTCAAGAAATCCAAGAAGATATGGACATGCAAGTGTCCTTCGGCTGTTGGATGGGGTGTAGATATCAAAGAAGAGTTGGACAGGTGTCCATTCCTGTTAGGTTTTATTTTGATGAAACAATTCATGAGAACAAATTTGACATGTGTCCATTACATGTTGGCTGGGATGTATATATCCGAAAGGAATTCAGATATACCTTACCTGCTGGGATATATTCTGGTTCAGCAATTCAAAAAACCCAAGAAGAAATGGACATGCAAGTGTCCTTCGCCTGTTCGATGTGGTGTAGATATCCAAGAAAAGTTGGACAGGTGTCCATTCCCTGTTGGGTTGTATTCTGATGAAGCAATTCAAGAAACCCAAGAAGAATTGGGCAAGTGTCCATCAACTGTTGGGCGGGATGTATATATCCCAGAAGAGCTGGACAGGTGTCCATTACCTGTTGGGTTTATTTTGATGAAGCAGGTCAAGAAACAAACCCAAGAAGAAATGGACAAGTGTACATTACCTGTTGGGTGGGATGTAGATATTTAAGAAGATTTAGACAGGTGCTCATTACCTGTTGGGTTGTATTTTGATGAAGCAATTCATGAAACCCAAGAAAAATTGGACAAGTGTCCATTACATGTTGAGTAGGATGTATATACTGTAGAAACACAAATTTTCGTGGGCATAAAATTTCGTTGTTTTGTCTTCCAAAATACTTTCGTGGGCATATAATTTCGTTGTTTTGAAAGTAACCCTATTCAGTATATATTCAAATAAAATTTCGTGTGGGACTTAATTTCGTTGAATTTTGTTAACAACGAAATAAACATTTTTTGATGAATGTTACTCTGTAAAGTATGCCAAATGTGGTCAGTGGACCAAATCGTTAAACATAAACTTTAAATGTATCATTTACATTGTTCCTGAAGATCATAACATCTTAAAAACTTATTGCTCCTTGAAGAATGTTCATAAAATCACAATTATTGTGGAGGAATAAAGGGTCTGTAGGGCTACAAATATCAGTTGGAAGTGTGGAGTTTCTACCAAAGCATTTTTCCCCATTGTCCTTGAATGGCTTTACACATCATCAAATATTTGATATGTATTATGTACAACCGATCAAAGTAGCTAGGTCGATTGAGCGCTTGCTACGAGATCGGGGATTCTTGGGTTCTAATCTCGGCCATGACTGACATAAGTCGATAAATTGGGAATCAACTGTTCCTTCGTCATACTCTCGACACTTGAAATGAAAGTTGGGGGGTCAATCGTTTGAGCCGTTGGCTCGATAGAGATCCTGCAATAGTCTTTTTTTTTTAAACAATTTATTTCCCAGACCTAATCTATAACAAAAAATCGACTAACTAGAAAAAAAATAAGGCAGCTGCCAGGGATGGGGCCCTGACTAAGCTCCTTCTAAACAATGATGTTTGTGTCCTATAACATCACGCAGGATGTTACATGTATTAAATAGACAAATTAAGAGTATAACATGAATTGAGATAAAGATATCATTTAAATTTTTTCCTAAAAAATATTTATATATATATACAGTAAACATATTTATTTAAGGTAAAGATATAATTTCAATATTTTTTTTTTGAAAAATACATTTTTACAGTATGCATCTATGAATTAAGGTTAAGATATAATTTCAATTATTTTCAACAAAATATATTCATACAGTATACATTATGAATTAGGGAAAAATATATATTTTTAATTATTTTCAAAAATATACATTTATACAATATACATGAGTTAAGGTAAAGATATAATTTCAGTGCAGCTGTCAACCGGGGGAGCCACAAATACGTTTTACAGTCTATTTACTCCCCCTTTTTGACAGCACTACTGGAAGACAGGTCCCTTCCCAGTAGCATTTATACATGAATTAGTAATTTCACATTAATTTGGAAAGATTTTCAAAAATCCTGTGTTCAGTGTTAGCCCTAAGAAAGCATAATACGGAGGTGTAGAAACATATTGATTTTTTTACATGATTGTATAGATTGTATTCAGTTTCACATAAAGATTCTAATCTACATAACATTTTATGTTTGTTAAATCTATATGCTACAAAAGTAATAAGTAGATTAAGAGATCTAGTTTTATCATTTTTTTCGTGGAAAAAACCAACTACAATATGTTTCCACTGAACTTTAAATGATAAGAAACTGCTTATAGTATTCCATATATTAGACACATTATTACATTCAAAAATCAGATGTTTCGCATTTTCTATTTTGTTACAATGTATACACATAGAAGATATATCTTTTTTCCACTTACTCGTATAAGCATTGTTACATAATATATTATTCAATAATTTATAGCTAAATTCTGCTATGTGTCTATCTCTTATGTCTATTATCTTACATTCATAAATATTCTTCCAACTCGACTCCTCAAATATTCCAAAATCTTTAATTAATATTGCTTGAAAATTGGGTCTACAAAACTTTTTTCAATGCGATTTTTGTAGAAAAAGTTACTTGATATTCCTGATATGTTAAAATTTCCCAAAGGGAAATTGAATTCAATTTCACTTTGTTTATTTATATTGCTCGCGTTTGAAAAATTGTGTATTCTTCGAATATTTTTAGTGGCTGATAGAAGAATTCTGTACTCACATAGCCAATTAGATTTGTCAATAATATTGGAAAAATGCTCTAGTGGTTTGAGGCAACCCTTGTCATCAAACAATTCATATATGTATAACATTCCTGATTTAATCCAACTATTAAAGAAAATAGGTTTTCCTTTATATACCAAATTACGATTATTCCAGATTGGCTGTTGCAGAATATCATCAGAAGTTCTCTTTTCAAAATTTAATTCCGTTTTACATTCGTTAAAACAACTTAGAACTTCTTTGTAAAATAGAGGAACGTGTATGTTTTTTAAGCTATCCACACCTATTGATGAACATTTTAACAGATAATAGAAATCAACATTAAGTTCTTTACAAAAAATCCTGCAATAGTCATTGGACCTGAGTGTCAAGTTACATGTAAGGTCAAAGTGTTGACGTCCCTATATGAGTAAAAAAAAATGTCGAATGGGGCGTAAAACAACATACAATCAATCAATATACTATGTACCTTTAAGAACTTCCATAGCATTGGAAAGATATAAAAATTGTCTATTTTGTAATAATATTTTTAATCATAAAAAGTATAAAAATTAGTAAGACACATAAACACAGCAATACTTATATCATGATAATTACAGTACCTGGCCATATATTTGTCTTAACACAAAATGTAATAACTTTATTATTCTTCTTTAGAATTACTATCTTAAAATGGACTAATTAAGGTTATTAACTTCTTGGTAATTTTAAGTGCTATAAATCAATCAAATTCGCTAAAATTAACTTTTTTATTTTTATTGATAAAGTCAGCAAATTTTAAAATTTGCGACAGGAGTTTCAAAAAGCAGTTTCGATTGACAGTCTTTGAAGAAAAAATATTCCAAAACAAGCTTCTATTGAATGCTCCTTTTCTGCATTCTTTATTAAAAAATAATGACATCATTTTATGAAAGCAACGTAATATCTGTAAGTAACAATTGACCAGATGGGTATTAAAGGAAAAAAGAATTTAACCCCTATGAAAAATGTTACATGCGTCATAATTATTGTCTAAAAGATTAGATTTATCAAATATGATAGTTTTAGATTTCTAAGTTTCTTAATCGATACAAAACACAAGCGATACATGACACACGGATCAAATTAAGCATCGAAGCGGACACCCTAAAAAAACTGATTAAGGAGACGATTGTATTCAAATGAAAAGAATTTAAACATAAGGATGCATGTATCGTCTGCATGACTATTTTTTCGGGGGTTTGCCGGCTAAGTTCAGATAAACACTATAAGTTCAATTAAAAACTGTAATTTTTTTTAAAGCTGATACGATAGCGGTTTAATCAATCCTCAAAGGATAAGAGAGTGGATTAAAAAAAGATAAGCACATACACTAAGTCCTGCTATCAGGCATATCGATACCTTCAGCCAACAAATCGAATTTTACTTCGTATTGCTTACCAGTTGCAAAGTTACTTGCTGTCACGCGAATTTCCGTTTCTCCGAAAATGAATGACATTTCAATCTCAGCCGGTACAATTCGATCGCATATTGGAATTTCTATGGTGCCTAATTTGAAGCATCCTTTTTCATCAATGTAGAAGGGGTCTTCAGAATTTGATATAAACACTCCACACTCAACTTTTCTCTCTTCATTTTGCCGCGACTGGAAAATATATGACTTCCTCATGCCTGGTTCAATATATTCTCCTCTGGAAATAAATTTCAAGAAGACATCTCTAGACCTTTCTTCTCCCGAAATAATCTCTTTTTTCTTCAAACTGTGTATAAAGCTATCAAATCGCGGACAGGTTTCAATCCCGTATGTATACCGGGCTACCCGTGTAGTAAAAACGTCTGGAATATGACCAAAATACACCGCTCCTTTCAAAACAACCAGCTCTGCCTGCTCAGGTGTTACCACACGCTTGTCCTGAAACTTTTCCCTTATTTCAGACCGCAATACATCATTATAAGCAAATCCTCCTACCATTAGTAATGTGTTAATATATTTGCTTTCTTTTCTGAAAATACCTTCAAGATGAGTTGTGATGTTTCTTATCATAGGATGAAATATTTCATCGAAAATTCTAGATGGCACAATTAAAACTCCTCTTTGGTATCGTACCTTACCACGATATTTGGAGTTTTCAATACATCGATTTATTGGCTCTTTCTCTTCCATGTCTTTATTGTTTAACACTTCTTTAGCAATCTCCAATAATACGAATGGAAGATGTATACGAACATTGTTTCTCACACAGGTTCTTCTCCCGTTCTTTATCTTGGTTTTCTCAAATTCCTGCCAGAATGTAAAATAGTCTACCTTGTATTCCCCTTCCGACGAAAACCTTTTCAAGACCTCATCACCAAAAATATTCTCTAGAAATATGTAGAACGCTTTATCTACACATGTGTCTCCCCATGCCCCACCAGTTGCTGGAATAAGTTCCACTAGATTATGATTTTGCTGTTGGTGTACTGTAATATCTGTTTTTCCACCTTGAAAAAAAATCTTCTTACTGAACATTTGCAAATTTATTTTGCGGGAAAAAAAATCTACTTGTACACAGTATTCTGAAGTTTATATCAAAGTGATGTGAGTTTCTAATTGACAATACATGTATCTACATGTATATAATTTATTGAGATCTGATCGTAACTTATTGAGATCTGATCGTCAAAAAATGTATGCAGGGACAATAAGAAAGCATTCTATTAGTTATGTAGACAAATTTATCCCACCGACTGTTGTCTAAAAGATTAAATATTTATTGTATCGCTAAATTGCTTTCTGCATGCTTTATTGTCGCCAGACGCATTGTGACATCAGTAATGAAGCTCCATGCAGGTCACGTAAAAGCAGTATATTGATGATATGTGGTTGGTAAAATTTTTAATATATGGTGGGTAGGTAACGTGGAGAGGGCACATTCTCAATGTAGGGTGGGTAAACAACATAACATGGTTTCATGCAGCATTGCTCTCGGCCAATGAAATTAAACAATTTTTATCAGAGGCAGGATAAAAAATATTTTACTTTGACTAAATCAGTGATACATTATGACGTCATAGTACGCAACATCAATTTCAAAACACAATTATTAAAAATCTTGCTATTTAGTGATGTTATTTAACTACTGAAAAATGAATGGAAAAAAAACGTTAATAAAATAAATGTTTTGTTTGTTATTTTGTATCTGTCATTTTGATCATGATCTACCACCGATGACGTCACATGTGTACATTAAGTAATTTGGATATTGGTCATGTCCAGTTAAGATAATTTGGCTAAGATGGCATGTACAAAGATCCCTGAAATGGAGTTTGAAAGAAAATATCGTGAATATTGTGTTACAGTCTTATGGAGTGTATTTTATCAAACAAGTATTCTAATTAAATTTTATCGATTTTCGAAGACGGCTATTCTGGTATCCGGTAGGCCTTTCCTCTGTAAATTCGTGACCAAAATAATGCAACAAAACAATTTAAGCTGGGTTTTTCAAATAATAAGACTTGTACAGATGGAAAGTTTGCCTTCTAAAATGCTTTGAAAGTGCTGCTAGATTCCAGAGTTACGCACGGTTCATATGTATAGAATTTGACAATTTGGGCAATGTTATGTGCAAATGTGTGGAATGATTACTTTACGGATAGAATAGATGAATTCTAGCAGCATTTCATATGCAAAAAAGACGTTTTTGACTATTATTAACTCAAAGAAATCATTAATTGATCAGTTAGCTTTTTTTATGAAGGAACATTCGCTATCAATAAAAGTCACATAATACCATAACATACAGCCTACCAATTCCACCCTGTTGATAGCAGAACTAAATTTGTATTCACGTGAGGTTATACTTATTCTAAGAAGTACCGTTCACTGTAGCTCAGTCAGTAGAACGCTCGCTAGGTGATCGGGAGGTCGTGAGTTTGTATCTCGACCGCAACCGACCTGAGTCGATAAAAATAAATATAAAACTGTTCCTTCGCCGTGTGCTCGGCACTTTAAGTGAGAGTTGTAGGTCCTTCGGATAAGAGCTTAAAAACCGAGAACTATTTTCATCAGCAGGCATAGACACGATAAAGATACCTCACTGCTCAATGGCCCTGAATAACGAGTAAATGTCAAATGAAGCATATGATGACGTCACCATATGAGTAAAATATTCTCGAAGGAGACCTTAAAGCTGAACACGTTTCATAAATAGCCACTGTCAGACGGGTATATAAACCGTCCGATTTCGTTACACTCGGTTGCACATTCGAAACTCGTGTCCGACATGTAGTACTCCTTGCGTGGTCTCAGATTATTTGCGTTTTTACTTCGTTTTTATGTGCATTTTCTGCTTGTATATAATGTATTGACTTGTATTTTTCATGATACTATTGTCTTTTTTTGCAAAAAAAGGTTAAATTTGATAATTTCATCTCGACCGAGTTGCATGGCTGTGTATAATGTACGTCTACACTCGTCAGATATCTACAGCAAAATACATTGAACTGATAAGCTATCTTCTCCTTATATATGGGCTGTGGGGAACGCTTTGGACAACGAGAAATATGGCGGCCTATGACTATTTATGAAGAGTGTTCATCTTTAAACAATATACAATAAATCAATTAATATTCAAAGAATCAAAAACTTTAGCGTCCTTCAATTTAACACAAGATGAAATGCTCCCATTAAGCTTGACTTAATGGTAGCTTATAGGTGCTTAATGGTGGCTTAAAGGCTGCCTTTAAACCACCATTAAGCCACCATTAAGCACCTATAAGCCACCAGTAAGCTTCCATTAAGTAACCATTAAGCCACCATTAAGCCGAATTTCTAACTTAATGGTAGCTTAATGGTGGCTTAATGGTTACTTAATGGTGGCTTATAGGTTCTTAATGGTTACTTTTAGACCACCATTAAGTCACCATTAAGCCACCATTAAGGTAGACTTACAGGTGCTTAATGTCCAAACTCCATTAAGCTACCATTAAGCTACCATTAAGCCACCATTAAGTCACATTACGCAGTTGATTATATTGTTTATATGGAAGAAAAATTATTTTTATAGTGATTTGTTATCATTATTATAAATGTAGAGTTCGTTTTATCTTGATTTGGTTAAAAATAATGAAAAAGAACGAAATTCAAAATTTAAAAAAACCAAAAAAAAAAACCCGGCGCAGTGGGGGCGCGAACCCACGACGAGGTTTCGAAGGCAAACGCCTTATCCATTACGCTATCGCCGCTCCTTATAAACTAGTGAAAATATTAAATATTTAACCTTTATTTTTTTTCAAAATTTGTGGACTTGTTAAAGGTTTTTACTAGAATTTTGTTGAACATTTCCAAACGTCTTGAATTGGTTTATTAATCAAAATATAAACAATTTTATTTTTGGATCTTAACACATTAATATATTTATATCTCTACAGAGATCGGATTTTAGTTTGATGTAGTGTGATTGAGTTTTTCGCTCTGTTAGTGTTATTCGAAAATTTTTCAAATGTAAGCATTAAATCATGATTGAAGATAAATTAATTATAGATAAAACACAAAAGTCTATCATCGAAAAAGAAAGAGGAAAAAAAAACATATTTTACTATTATTTTTAATATACTTCGGATATTAACGGTTTCTGTGTCAACAATTTAGTGACAATCCTCGCGTAAGAGTTACCTGGTTAATTACGTTTACAAAAACTTTTTTTAGAATATCATATTCAGTTTCAATTCTTTTTGTGTCATAATGGGTATCAAAATAATTGACTTTTTACGATGAATCATATTTTTTGATTTGTTATAATGCTTGCGTTAAATTTATTTTTTTTTTTTAAATAATTGATCATTAAAATCTGTCAGTGTACGTTGTGTATGTATAGTTTCCTGTTAGTTAACGGGGGACAGGGGACACCTAATTAAGGTCTATTGTCTGACCAGCCGGTTTACTGTACACGGATTATCTGTTAATCCTACCCCGTTTCTTAATGTGTATACATCTGGTCGGATGTCATGTTTAATCTGATCGGCCGTTCCTCTGAAAATCGATTTTGAAAATTAATAACAATCATTGAAGACCGACTAGATTTTGACAGATACTTACCGCTGCATTATAAAAAAAAATAATGAATTAATTAAAAGTATTCATGATGTAAAAGCCATTAAAAAGTTTTTCATGGTAAAAGTCAATTTTTGAAAACTAAACATTTGTATACCAGTAGCCCCCCCCCCCCAAAAAAAATAAAAGGACAAAGGTTTTTTTTTTCATGAGATCATATAGTTATATTCCTGTGAATTCTGTAGCAGAATGGTTCTTTTGACATATGAAATAAAATGGCCATTTTAATAAAGTAATATATATTTTGTGTTCGGAATATAGATAATTCAAAAAACAAATTGATTTTTGTTATTGTACATTTCAGATATTTCACAAGGACTTGCTCACGGTGTGTAATTATTATTTGTTTTTAAAAATCATATACACTAAAAATAAAAACAACGCATGTAATAATGGTTAATTTAAAAAATAAAAATAATATACAGTTCTGATACATGATGTCTTGTTTTATTATCACTGTAAATGATTTAAAAAAAATTAAACACCTCGAGCAAGCCCCTGTGGCTATTAGCTAACTTCGTTCCCAGTGATCAAGTTTATGCACGTTGACAAAAAACTCGTAGAAATTATGATCGAGACAGAATTATGAGATGGAATAGATTTTGCGTAAATGATATTAAAATAACTAAAAGCTAGTTTAAAGATTCTATATAAGATGCGTAAAAGTTTAATGAGGGTTGACCATTAAGTCACCATTAAGCTGAGCTTAATGGTGGCTTAATGGTAGCTTAATGAAGTTTGGACATTAAGCACCTGTAAGTCTAGCTTAATGGTGACTTAATGGTGGCTTAAAGGAATTAACTCCTTTAAGCCACCATTAAGTCACCATTAAGCTACCATTAAGCGATTGCTTAAAGGTAGTCTTTCGTCTTGTGTAACATATTGATTTATAAAAAAGGTATAAACATGGTGTTAATTATCAATACATGTAATTACCTACAATAAAATATGGACTCAATATAATCTAGTGAGCTTGAAATAAAAGATACCATAGAGTCTGGCACATCTGTTTCATGATTATCTGAATGTTTTCTTTCAAAGATACATTAACCTAACTTTCTGATAAATGTTGTGATTTCAACATTTCAACATTTAAATCATCAAGCGTCAACTTCCCTTATTTTCACCAGTATATGAGGCTTATGTAATTCACTTGATTACATACGCAATCTCATTATGATTGATTGATTAATTAATTGGTATTGTTTAACGCTGGATGGGCAATATTTCAGCCATATTGCTCAAAATATGAAGTTGATGAAACAATTATATCAACAGGCTTATTTGATGAGATCATTTTGCAAGATTTTTGCGGTCGTTAAAATACCCTTGTCGACAAAAACAACCTATTTTTAAGTAAGATATTGACTGGCATTTAACATATTTTCTGTTCATTATTAGCACACTGAATTGCCTACATATTTTTTTCCGTTTCTCCCTTCATGACAAGGAGAAGAAAGCAGGTGTGGTTGGTCGACAGGGGTTACTTCTTCCAAAGCATCCCCGTGGGGATCCGGGTTAGAATAGGTCCTAAGTACCCCTTGCTTGTCGTAAAAGGCGACTAAATGTGGCGGTCCTTCGGATGAGACCGTATAAATCGAGGCCCCGTGTCACAGCAGGTGTGGCACGATAAAGATCCCTCCCTGCTCAATGGCCCTGAGTGCCAAGCATAGGCCTAAATTTGCAGCCCTTCACCGGCAATGGTGACGTCTCCATATCAGTGAAATATTCTGGAGAGGGACGTTAAACACTATGCAAACAATCAATCTTCCAGTTTATATGTTATGTACAGTTTTGCCTAGCTAAATGGCGCCTGACCGTGAATACCGTTCCTTATTTCTCTATTTTTTACTGACACATATTTCTTTAATATTTCACAGACATTATAAATATCGCTTTTGTTTCTAGTATGTTAAATTATTTTGTTTATACATTAAACGCTTAAACATTGCCTAGTCTTGATAGTTTGAAAGTTCTGGTTTAAACTTAATTGTTCTAACATACCTCCGATGTCAAGGATCACGTATTCAGTGTCTGCCATTCCTTTCATCCTTGTGCCATCTTGATTATCCGGTTGCGTGAATAGAAAATAAATAGATGCAGCCTCTGGTTCCAGTGCTAGAAGCAACTGAGCACTTGGAATTCCGGCCTGAAAAGGTTATCAATAAGTGTATGCATTCAAGATCAGTGTGTGCCACACGAGAGAGAGAGAGAGAGAGAGAGAGAGAGAGAGAGAGAGAGAGAGAGAGAGAGAGAGAGAGAGAGAGAGAGAGAGAGAGAGAGAGAGAGAGAGAGAGAGAGAGAGAGAGAGAGAGAGAGAGAGAGAGAGAGAGAGAGAGAGAGAGAGAGAGAGAGAGAGAGAGAGAGAGAGAGAGAGAGAGAGAGAGAGAGAGAGAGAGAGAGAGAGAGAGAGAGTACATACGGCTTCTGCAGCTTTCCTCATGAACTTTTTGGCGACATCATCCCATATTGCTGGCACAGTTATAACAAAAGTGATATTGTTTACTTCAATTTTGTTGATGAGCGTATTATTCAAGTTTTCAAGAAGATGATCTTTCAAATATCGTATGCAATGGGTGAAAACCTCAATGGCGTCAAGTTCCTTTTTGTTTTCATCCATACATTTGGTTTTTATGTTGACTCTCTACAATTAAAAAATTGTTTTTAGCAAAAGTAATCATTAATATAATTAAATAAAATATTAAATTCCACTCTTAATCCTTTTTTTAGTTACTACATTCATCATATAACCACATGTACAAACACACACTGTATAAAAAAAGCAAAACAATATTTATTTTTTATACGAGTTTTGTGTATCGTATTTTATTCTCATTAGATATATATATATAGAGTTCGAAAACTAATATCCTACTTTTTCTAATGCTGTTTCCAAAATCATCTTAAATCTTTGGAAAAAGTAATAGTCTTTGTCCCCACTTTCAAGAAGATCAATGTAGTTTTTCTCAGCTTCATAGCCAAATGAATTAAAGGTCCTGTCTGGGTTTAAGAGGAGGGCTGTTGGGGCTTTGTGAGACATCGGGTTCCAATTGGACCAATCGCTTGTCTTAATTTTTGTCCAGTTGTCCTTGAAGGAATAGGCATAGCCAGAATAAGTTGTGCCGATGTCAATGGCAGCCACCAAAATTTTATGGGGATTTTGCTGCTTTGTTTTCTCCGGCATTTTGACACATCCTATATATATATATATATATAGAAAGATAGATAATTACTTTTGTTTTAAATTTTATGACACGAGCATATCAAAAAAACCTTTACCACTACGGAAGAATTGTGAACATAATCATCCGGTAAAAACAGTGAAACAATATTGAAATAAGACAGGGGTGGACAGAAAAAACATACAAAGATTCCCTTAAAGTGTCCATGAAGCTGTTCCATAAATTAAAGAACCTACAAAATGGGAAAACCTAGCACTCGATCGCAGTGCCTTGCGCTCAAGAGGGGGGCAAACCGGAATGAGATAAAGCACCTAGCTGAGCAAAAATGCACGAAGCGCAAGGATAGAGCTGCCTCTGTGGAAACTCCACTAGGAGTTTCCCAGATTGTGGAAAGAAATTCCATGCGAAGGTTGGTCTCAGACAGTCAGTTGGAATCAGACCTTCGGTGCTGATAGTTCCCAATCTCCCAAAATACTTTGCTGATATTTATAATATTTCAAAACTAGGAACTCGTATTTGTGTCTTGAAGATTTAGAGAATGTGGATGCCGATACAAGAAGAAAGCTCACGGTTGAACTAGAACGCGGGTATGTTAAGGAAGCAAGCATACAAGTCATTTCTCGGGAAATTTAGGCTTTTTAAAGAAAATTAAGTTTGATAAATTACCAAATCGCTGATAAACGTAAACTGTTATAAACTATTGTATACAGATAAAAGAGTGTCTAATGCGAAGACGTGTATCACCGCAACGAAATCACGTGACTTCTATTAATAGCGAAATTTTCGTTGATAAAAAAGCTAACAGAACAACAACATGCCGGTGTTTGATAATCTCTTTGATTAAATAGTATAGTTGAAAAACATATATTTTTCCTAAAAAGTGCTGCTAGAATCCAACTGCCCTGTTAGTAAAAAAATTATTCCACACATTCGTACGAAACCGTACCCTATGTTTTGAATTTTATACATGTGAACCGAGATTTTTCGTAAAACCACGCTTAACTGGGAATTCTAGCAGCACATTCTAATTTTGTCAGAAGGCAAACACTTTCCGTCTGAACAAATCTTATGTTTTGTAATATCCAGCTTATTGTTGTTCTGTTGCATTATTTATGTCATGAATGACAGGGGAAACTGTCTTCGAAATAGAATATAATCGTTGAAATTAATTTAGCATACCTGTATAATTAACTGAACTCCATATGATTTTCACATAATATTCACAATACTTCCTTTTAAACTCCATTTTACGTATCTCTGTACCTGCCATGTTAGACAAAATCTCTTTACACGACATGATCAATTCCCAAGTTACTTGTTATACACATATGACGTCATCGGTGGTAGATTTTAATCAAAATGACTGACACAGCCAAATCAAAATAAAAACATTATATTTGTGTTTATTGTTTATACGTTTCTATTCATTTTCTAGAGTTAAATTACATTTCTAAGTAATAATTTTATGAAGACTTGTGTTCTAAAATTGACATCATCTTGTCTACCATGACGTCATAATGTAGCACTGATTTAGTCAAGGTAGAATATTTTGTATGCTTCTTTATTACATCTGCAAATTAGTAATAGACGAAAATATCATCCTTTTAAACTGGGTTTGAGAAATCTAAGGGTATTGGCACCCGTGGCTGCTACATGTACTTTGTAGTAATCACATCATGAACCTTCCTGATATAAGAAAAATGTTTCAGCTATAAATGACGACATGTAGTTGCATTGTTTGAATCACCTGTGCCGGTTAACATATGTAAATATTGTTTTTATGCAATGTAAATATATTTGATAAAAATAGCTCGACTCCTCCATGACACCGGATCCCACCTCTGATGTTTTGGTGGTCCATCTTTGCTCTGCTCTTATTTTGTATTGTTTTTTTGGACTTTGATATCGAATACTGTTTGTTATCTCCACATCTTTCTTCTCACAACAAAGATAAGTATAATTCTTCTGAAGGATTCACAAATCTAGAAGAACACACACGAATATGATACACTTTCTATGGATCCTCAAATAAAAGTAGGAGAGATAACTCAAGGTACCAGATCGGTAATTTTTGAATAACGCCACATGGAACAAATGGAGATAACGGACAGTACCCAAAGATCAAAACAATGCAGAACGCGTTAACATGAGTGGAACAAAGTTGTGCAGATTTTGTTTAAGAACGAGGAACACGGGCCTTACAGGTCACCTGAGCATTATGCAACAATTTTGCAGACATTGAATTCGATTCATCTTTTAAGCCATTGGCATTCACAATTTTGAAAGAGGCACCATTAATTATCATAACAATACACTTAGCAGGATGGGGAACAAAAAATAAACATTTCAACGAATCAGTAATATTCAGCAATAACCAGTTGTCTCCCTACCACACAGGAGCCCCTGACCCTTAGGCCTAGATTGCACGAATTTTTGAAAAAGCTCAGGAGAATACAAGAAGATTTTCAGAGAAATAATGCATTTTTACTATGTAATCAATAGGGCCCCGCCCTAACACCAGGACTCCTGACCCTGTGGCCATCCTTGGTTTACAAAAATATTTGATTAATACCAAGGGGCAAATTTCAGTTAATTCATTCCTTTTCAGTATATAAGTACAATACTTATGGTACCCCTTATCCTAGGGCCTTGAAATTCTCAATTCTGTAAGATTAGGGCTCTAGCTCATCATAACAAAATGGGTAGTTCCTCTATTTAAGAATTTCCATCCCTAATGGGAACTAATTCTCTATACTTAAATGTCCGTCAAGTACATAAAACAATGATATTATATTAAAGGATTATCCGCGAGAAAGATTTAAAACTTTCATTAATTAAGTAGCAGTTAATTAACAAAGATTGCATTCAAGTCTATGGGGAAAAGCGTTTTACAAAAATAAAAAAATCAAAGAATTTGAATATCATGCGGTGGATAGATACATTGAAACATTTAAAATAGAAGAAAGACAATTGAAAACAATTTCTTTGCCAGCTTGATTTTTTTAATTTATCTTTTTTCTTGATTAAAAAAGGGGGAGATAACTCTTACCGAATATCAAAGTCATAAATTAGGACACATCCCACTACACATACTGATAGTAATAAATGAGAAATATGTCTAAATAAACTAAGCATTCAATGCCAACATATCAGTTACGTATTCAATTTCCCTGAATTATTTCCCATTAAGGATTTAATACCTTAATACACAGGAGCAGAGAAGGAAATCTATAAAATCAATAGAGCCCCGCCCTAACACCGGAACCCCTGACCCTGGGTCCATCAAACTCACACTTTTGGTAGAGGCATTCTTGCGAATAATAACTGTGTACTTTGTTGGTTTGTCTAATTCCCAGGAGCAGAAAAATGTTTTTAAAAGAAATAACATTTGTTACAATATAATCTATAGAGTCCCGTCCTAACACCAGAACCTCTGACCCTAAGACCATAAAATTCATAATTTTGGTAAAAGCACTCTTGCTCATTATAACTATGTACTTAGTTGAACTAGGTTTATTTAATACCCAGGAACAGAGAAGAAGACTTTCAAAGAAATGATACATTTTCACTGTATAATCAATAGGGAACCCCTGACCCTGGTACCATAAAATTGAAAATTTTGGTAGAGGCACTCTTGCTCATAATAACTATGAACTTAGTTAGTTTATTTAATACCAAGGAGCAAAGAATATTTTTAAAGATTTAATGTATGTTCACTATATGATCTAAAGAGCTCCGTCCTAATATCAGAACCCCTGACCCTGGGGCTACAAATTTCACAATTTTGGTAGAAGCACTTTTGCTCATCACATCTATGTACTTAGTTGTTTAATTTAATACCCAGCAGCAGAAAAGAAGACTTTAAAAGAAAAAATAAATTTTCACTATAAAAACAATAGGGCCCAACCCTTACAAAAAAACCCTGACCATTGGTCCATAAAATTTATAATTTTGGTAGAGGCACTCTTGCTCATCACAACTATGTTCTTAGTTGGTTTATTTGATACACAGGAGCGGAGAAGAAAGTTTTCAAAAAAATAGTGCATTTTCACTACATAATCAAAAGGGCTAAGCCCTAACACTAGAACCCCTGACCCTGGGGCCATAAAATTCACATGTTTGGTAGAGGTACTCTTGCTCATCATAAATGTGTACTTTATTGATTTATTTAATACCCCGGAGAAGAAAAAAAGATTTTTAAAGAAATAACAATTTTCACTATGTAATCAATAAGGCCCCGTCCTAACACCAGAACCCCTGACCCTAAGGCCGTTAAATTCACAATTTCGGAGGAAAAGAACTCAGTAGTGAGGTGAAAGAAGTCGCCAAGAAATTACTTGATGAGGGAAGAACTGTCAAATATGTGGCAGACGTTCTCGGTGTATCCCACTCCACCATTGGATCACTGAAAAAACGTTTTGAAGAGAGAAGTTCAGTGGAAAACATCCCGCGAAGTGGTCAACAACCTACTGTGACAGAACGTGACTATAGATACTTAGAAAGGTTAGTTAAAGTAAACAGGAGGGACAGTCTAACAGAAATCACAAATAAATTTAATGAAAACAGGAATATTCCCGTATCTAAGCGTACATTACAACTACATTTACATAAACATGGATTTACAAGACGTGTATCAAAGAAGAAACTAGTGATAAGGGAGGTAAATCGAAGAAAGAGATTGTCATGGTGCCGGGAAAAACGAAAGTTAACAGTGGAAGGATTTTGGAAGAAAGTTATTTTCTCGGACGAATCAAAAATTGTTATTGGACGTGATTCAAGGGTGTATGTTTGGCGTAAGAGGGGTGAAGGGTGGATGCCTGATTTGGTGACTCAGCGCTGTTCGAAACCATGCTTTGAGGTCATTATCTGGGGGTGTATTACTTGGCATGGAATTGGTACCATCACGGCTGTAAATGGAAATATTAACGCTGAAAAATACCAGGATATTCTTGATAATAATCTGTGGCCAGTTATAGCTCGCCATTTTCTATCTGGTAACTAT